TGAGGAAAAAAAAAAAAAAAAAAAAAAAAACAAAAAAACAATAATGCGAGAAAACTACTTTTTCTTCTGGTCTGGGCTCCAGCGCTGGCGTGACTTCGTTTGGCACGTCACCTGCAGGTGTTTGTTGTTCGGGTGCTGGTGTTACAAGCTGCTGGCTGGGGCTCATAGGCTGAAGCTGTGGTGGTGAGCTGGGTGACATTGGCATTGCTGGTGTAGCAATGGTACGCATCGAATTTGTTATTTCATATTTCGGTTTCTTCTCGCTGCCGCACTGCACTAGCAAAATAGCAAACGATATAACCAAGGAAGTTGCTGCAAATTTACCATCAATTTTTGCCGGTGGTCGGTAAAGTAAAATGCTCATTAACACTTACTCCTTCATTTGAGAACCATATAAAAGGTGGTGTAAAACAGGCGCCGATTGTTTTTCTGCATTTTGAGGTCATTTGCTGCTCCAGTTAAAAGTTCTTTTTTATCATGCAATTCAATGGATGATAAAAAATGTAGCCTAGTTGCAGATAAAAGCTAAGAAACCTCAGGAGTTTCACAATAACGTGTCATACCATCTCTTCCTGACTGTAACTCCTTTTGAAATGAAACCCTTGTTACCTCCATCCCGAACACATTAGGATTTTTGTTCGTGGAATTTCATCACTCGGTTTTCCGCTATTCAGGTGTTGTGATTTGATGGCCAGAAAGACAGATATTTATGAATGTAGGGATATAAGTTCTTGCTGCAGCAATACAGAAATTCACAAATGTGGATTCATGTGATCACATAATTCCGACTTCTGCTACTGATACTTCTGCACCTCCTGGAGCAAGGAGTTTTGGTCAGAAGAAGGAAAAATAAAACTTAGTATTTCCTATCTCCTTATCCCACTCTAACTCTGTGATGTGATTCGAATCGGACCCGGGCGAGGAATCACAAATATGCTTGAAAAAATGCGCACCTGATAGAGTGAATGTGGTAATATATTGAATGAAAATGTTCGATAAGTACTGCAGTATGTATTGCAACATTTTTAACTCTTCCCTGCAAACCAGTTTTTCTGTTACATTTTTCATTGTTTTATGAGACCTTTTTTTATGCGTTTTTGCCGTGCAGCGCTAGAGCGCTGCAACAGGCAGCAAAAACGCATATTG